AAAGTTAACTTTTTTTTCCGTCTTCCTCTTCTGATCCCTATCAATCGTCAACGGAACACAAACAAATAATAAAAGAAAAAAGGGAAAAAAAAAACAAACACCCACACAGTCATACCAATCCATTGATTGTACGTACACACATAAAAAATAATAATGATAATAATAATAACAATAATAACAGAAATAATCAACTGGTCAAAAATTATGTTGTTCAGAAGTTGAAAGGACAATAGGGTAACAGCGATAAGTTTTACAGCGGCAAAACTCTTCTTGTACATTATTATTTTTTGAACTTGTTAAATGATGAAAATAAAAGAGATGCCGAGAATAACGTAAGCTGAAACATCCAATAATGATTAACTATAAGTGAACAGCGGGGGTGATTAGAAAACATTGACACTTTGCAGCAATGAGGTGGTGGTGTGCTGCCTTTTTTTTTTTTTGATACGTTCAACTGCTGAAAAGGCAACAACGGCAAATCTAGTAGAAGTGTATTGAGACCAGTTTTCTCGTCGTTCAGTTATAGAGATGCATATTTCTGATGAAAAGACTATGCCGTAAACTATGAGAAGTGGCTGATTAATGCAATATCAAAAACGGCTTTTGTTTATAATTTTGAGACAAAACACAAGCTCAGAATGCGTAATTTTTGATATCACTATGCCTTTTTTAACAACAACAACAACGACAATAATAATAATAATCGTTTATAATAAAAGACCCTCATCAAAGAAGAAATCTACGGCTTTTTTTTTTTCGTTCGCTTTCTTTAGGAACTCTTCTTTTTTCTTTATTTTATTTAGCTACCAAATTTTTTGTTGGAATATCTAGTCAAATCTAGTCTATTTCGCTCTCGTTGTGGTTGTTGTTATTGCTGCTCTTCACTTATTTCCATTGTATTACTGTTTCTTTATAGAACTTTGACAGGTGTTGAGAGCCTAAATTAAACTGTCTAATATTAGTTTAGAAAATATTTCTTTTTTCTGCTGCGGTATCTAAACTTGTAAGCATAAGCCTTACTTTACTGTTAAGCTACTTAATTTTGGTAGTTTAAATGATAGTCAAGAAAATAAGCATAACACAAATTCACTGACTAGTCCAACAGTATTTTGGCTAAAAATTTCGTGTTTAATAAAGACAAAAAAAAAGCTTTAAGTTGATGACTTTGACAAATAAATTAGTTCATTGAAAAAGAAAAAAATTCTTTATATATCAATCCACTATTAAATAATCTTCAAATGCTGCCCTTTTTTTGGTTGAAAAAGATTCACAGCTTCTGAACGAACGCATAAATTAGTAATACAGATTTTTTAACACAAAAAAAAAGAATTTCTATAGATTACAAAATATTTATGATGTTGCCGTAAGGCATATAATCTGTTCTACAGATTATTATACTTACCTTAAGACAAACATGAGTCTTAGTTTTCGGTAAGTATATCTGATTTATGTCTACTAGAGGAGGCCTATAAAAGAGCTCTCTTATTGCCTTTTATAGTTAGTCATTATTCTGTTTACTGTTCTAAGTTCTTCCCTTACTACTCGTCTGTTGTATCAATAAAACCTTTTTGGCCAACTTTGACGACCACATCACATGAATCATAACAGTATTATTTGAAATATATCGATTGCTATTGAAAACAATAACGTAACATCCCACAAATAGCTCTGTTAGCTTTACCCTCATTTTTTAAAGAATTTGAAATTTATTTTTTATCCTTTATAACAGATTAGTTTAATTTAATTTTTTTTTATAAATGA